TTGTTCCTTCAATTCCTGGTGCCTTGTTCTTTGCCAATTCCTTCAATGCACCTTGGACTTCCTCCTTCAGTATCATTGGCTCTTAATCATATGCTACCTCTTGAAATGGTTGAACATTAACCATTTCCTTTGGTAGACACTTGTTAATTTGGGTTACTAGGATGGCAGTATGCAACAAGAGGGAGGTTGACAAAAGAAAAATGAAGATGGGGGAAAACACAGAGAGGAGAGAAGAGCTAAAGGAAATTAAGCTAAATCCTGTTACATACACAACCTTGCTACAATGGTAATCTACATGGACAGATGCACAGGCTGAATTGGTATGGGAGGGAGAATGGGAGCATATCCACAAATATATAAAGGCTTGCCAGAAGATATTCTAGATGGGTATTTACCTTTACTGAAAATATATATATGATGTGGTGGAGCATGTTGTTGTTAGGTACCATATCTTTGGTATTGAATTATAGCGAACCTGTGCACAACATAATGAAACACTGCCTGATGCTGGGCCAGCCTCACAATCATTGCTATATTTGAGTTCATTGATGCTGCCACTGTGCCAATTCATCTAGTTGGGGTTCTTCCTCTTTTTCTCACACCTTTCACTTTACAAAGCATGATATTCTTCTCTAATGACTGGTCCCTTCTGACCATATGTCCGAGGTATGACAGACAAAGGCTGGCCATTCTGGCTTTCAAGGAGCACTCTGGCTATACTTCTTACAACACAGATCTATTTGTTCTTTTGGCAGTCCATGGTACTTTTAATATTCTCCTCCAACACCAGAACTCAAATGCATCGATTCTACTATAGGTTTCCTTATTCACTATCCAACGCTTGCATGCATAAAAAGTTACTGAAAATACCATGGCTTGTGTCAGGCTCCTCTTAGACCTTAAACTGACATCTTTGTTCTTCAATACTTTAAAGAGGTCTTGTGCAGCAGATTTGCCCAATGTAATACATCACTTAGTTTCTTGAGTACTGTTTGCATGAGTTTTGATGGTTGATACAAGCAAAATGAAGTCATTGACAACGTCAACCTTTTCTCCAATTATATGGACGTTATTCATTGGTCCAGTGGTGAGGGTTTTTGTTTTATTTACATAGAGTTTCAATTCATACCAAAGGCTGGGTCTTTGATCTTCATCAATAAATATTTTAAGTCCTCTTGGCTTTAACAATCAAGGTTGTATCATTTGCATTTCACAGGTCGTTAATGAGCCGTCCTCCTTAATTCTGACATCACATTTCTCTTCATATAATCCAGCTTCTTGGTTTATTTGATCAGTATGCATACTGAATAAGTATGGTGAAAGAATACAACCCTGGCACACACCTTTCCTAATTTTAAACCATTTATTGTTCTCTTGGTCTATGTACAGTTTCCTCATGAGCACAATTAAGTGTTCTTGAATACTCATAACTTGTCAAATATTATAAAAATTATTCAAAGGCCCAGAATTAGAAAACCAAAATGAAGAACACACTCAGAATTTCTCAATCTGAGGGAACTGAAGAGAAAAGTCAAACCTTGACTTGAAATTTTGAAGTATGCTATGGGAAAAACACTGAATGATGAAGAAAGCAGGAGAAGATGGAAGGAATGCACAGAGTCATTGTATCAAAAATAAATGGTCGATGTTCAACCATTTCAAGAGGTAGCATATGATCAAGAGCCAATTACCCTGAAGAAAGAAGTCCAAGGTGCACTGGACTGAAGAAAGAAGTCCAAGGCAATTGCAAAGAACAAGGCATCGGGCATTGATGGCATGCAAATTGAAATCTTTCAACAAAGTTAGTTGGCCACTGGAGTCACTCTCTCTTCTATGCCAAAAAGTTTGGAAGACAACTACCTGGCCAACTAATTGGAAGAGATCTGTATTTGTGCCCATTTCAAAGAGAGGTGAACTTAGAGAATTTGGAAATCAATGAACAATATTATTGATAGCCAATGCAAGTAAAAATGTACTACAGGTAATACAGAAACGGCTGCTACCATACATTGACAGAGAACTTCCAGAGGTTCAAGCCTGTTTCAGAAGAGGATGTGGAATGAGGGATATCATTGCTTACATTCGATGGATCTTGGCTGAAAGCAAAGAATACCACAAAAATATATACTTATGACTTCATATGCTTTGACTACACAAAGGCTTTCAATTGTGTGGTAGAGCATACAAAGGGCAAAATTATAAAAACATCTTTGACATTACCAAACACCATAAGGGAATGAGTTGCTGTGTTTGGCGGCTCAGGAGCATAGTCTTGTACAACACCAAGGTCAATTGGCTTAACAGACCATAAACACAGCATTCTACATCCTAATTTTGTGAGTAGCTACTGGACTCTTAAAAGCTCATAAGCAGCCATCTAAAGTGCAACTATTGAACTTTTATATCTCTTATAAACCAAGAGGTTAAAAGGTAGATAATCTTTTATAGTTAGGAGAAGAATACATTTTTCATCTTTTTTTACTATAACTCAAAATATTATTTATACCAAAAATATAAATATAAATATAAACCTTCTTTTTGGAATATTGTCACTTCATTAGAAATATTTGTCAGGAAGGAGATAAGCACCAATGTTGCTATATTAGTAGAAAAATTCAAAACCCAGTCAGAATTCTGGATCGATGTCAGAATCCAAAACTATCATGCTATGTAGTCATTTTTTTTTTTAATTGGGAGGAACTGAGCTAGTGATTAAAGACCAAGAGATGAGAGTGTGGGGAAAGGAGGATTTGTCTGAAACTGTAGAAAATGTTTACATTAATGACACCACCTAGAAATTAAGAACCTAAAGTGAGTGTGTTAGAATAATGAGATATAGCCGGGGTAAGTCCAGGCATGGGTTAGAATTCAGATGCTGTTTTTTGGAGATCCTTTACTTCTGCAATGTTTACAAATCTGATTCCTGTTCAGGTGATCACAAGGCAGTAAAGAGACCCATGCCCTACCAGGATGCACTTGCCACTGAGTGCAATGTTCAAGTCTACCTTTCTGTCCCAATAACAGGAACACCAGGGGACAACAGGCATTGCTCATAAGTCTAGAGAATTTCACACCACTGGCTCTGGGCCTATACTATTTATCTCTGTGGTTCTTGTCTCTATCCCTTCCCATGAACTATTTAATTTTCTAGGTCTAGTTCCCCCCCCCCTTTTTTTTTCTTTTTTTTTTAAGCTTTTATTGTGCATTGGGGATAGTTTACATGGGAGATGATCAGTTTTCCACTCATCCTATCATATTTTGCATTATTGCAAATGATTACATTTCCCTCCATGCATCA